GAGAGTTTCCAACTAAAAGTCAAGACCACCTGTAAATGTTTTATAATCAATCTGTGACCTCATTCAAAAGCTCAGTCTCTTAACTGACTTGGAAAAGGAAACTTGACATCAATCTAAGGCCTTAACGGTTCCATTTCTGTTGGTCTTATTCTCCAGTGTCAGTTGTTTTTATACATGGCCATCTCTCAGTTGTTAATCTGAAAAATTCTTGAGAGGAAAAAAATAATGACTTGTTGAAATAGATGTGCTCTCAGGCTTCTGGTCACTTCTGAACCAATCCATCAGCCCCTTGATTTATTTGCTGTATTATGTATCCAATGACCCACATCATCCCACAATGAGAAACAGAAAGAATAATCAGTAGCATTTTCCATGCAAATGAGTAAGAATAATGATTGTAAGAGATTGAAGCAATGACACTGACCTTCATAATAATGCTCGACTACCTTACAAAATGTAGGATAATGGGGAGTTCCACTTGACATTGGCTAAGTCACCAGCTCCAGCATAATGTTAAGTTCTCTACAATGCAGGAAGAGAACAATTGGTCCCGTACATGGGAATTGTTTCAGGGAAGTGGTATCATTTCCCCAAGATTCTCTGTTCAATCATTACATAAGTTAACTCTTTTTTTTCGTTTTGTTTTCTGGGTCATGCTTTGTAGTTTAAGTGAGCCTGAACTCTATGTAGCCCAGGCTGACCTCAAACCCATGGCAATCCTTCTGCCTCTGCCTCTGCCTCTCAAGTGAAGGGATTACAGGCATGCACCACCATGCCCGGCTACATGAGTTAACTCTTTTGACAAGATCTCTGTCTTATAAATCATTTCTATAAAGCAGGTGTAATCATTATCACCATTTACAGATGAGGACACAGAGGCTGGCACTGTGATGGCTTCTCTAAGGGTTTATAATCAAGAAGGGTCAGAACTGAGACTCGAACCAGCTGCAGTTAGGCCCTATGCTTTTTCTGCTGCCCCTTGTGGCCTACTGATAACTCTCACATGGATGAATACGGCTTACTCAAGAGTTCCCATCACGGTAGCTCCTTTCTAAATGACAGCATCAAGGAATTATGTTCTGAGAAGAAAGTCAGTGAGGAAAGTGTAAGAGTGGCCCATCAATGGGCCAGTGATGACCATTTCTGTGGTCCTCAATCCTTGTAATTGAAAGTCCCTGATCAATCCTCAAAGAAGACTGAATTAGGAGAGCAGAGATTAATGCTGGTAAAGTATTTGGAGCAATGAGCAATGAATGGATCTAACTGATACACAAGGAGTGTTTGCTAAATATGCATACATACGCTTGTATGCCCAGGGCTGTCCGTTATCTAGCTTAAAGATTTCATCTCTACTAGCAAAAGTTCATTATAAAATTAGTAATAACACTAGTGATGATTTATCATATTGGCTAGTCTCAGCTTTTTTCCTCCTAAAACTATATGAAGTATAGATGTGGTCAAAGATACAGTAAGTGTTTACATTAAAAATGAAAAGAATTTATTAAGCAAAAGACTCATCACCATGAATTACCCTTAACCACAGCCCATCTTCAAACACAACTACCCAACATTATTGCCCATTTTGGGAGCAGTTCTAGGAGTTCTTTTTCAAGAGTGTCTTTTTAAGGCTGCCTCAATGTCCTGAATTGATTAATATATTTATGGAAATTTCTGTCAAATAAAACATTACAATGTGCCCTCATCCACATTATTTACTCTGTCTGGGATCAAATGACTTTTGGCTCTTCCTCAGTGTCAAAACGACTCAGAATCTGAAAGGTAAATGTTTTCAGTAATTCAGGATAAGGAAGCAGCCACAACAGCACAAGTAAAGATTCTCATGAAAGAGGACTTCAGAACTGCTTGAGAAAGTGGCAAGAACAATAGAATAAAGTATGTTCAAAGCAAGGGAGAAGGTTTTGGGGGGAATTAATGGTGATGTGTCTCTTGGTGTGATAATTTTTTTTCAGTTCAGATACAGTATTGTTTGATCATAACTCATATGTATTAGCCCTATTTGGGAGATGAGACATCAGACAACTACTCCAAGATCTTACTGCTATTAAGTGAGCAGTAATTTTGAAGTTGGATAATTCTGTTTTTCTGTCCACCTTATAATGCTACTTTCAGACATAATTCAGTCAACTGGAGTAATAATCTTCAATATGTTAGCCTTCAAATCTTTCAATTTTTCTTAAATAATCGCAATTTGTGCTGCCCAATATGACAGCTACGTATGACTTTGGAGCAGTAGAAATGCTTTGAGTCCTAACTGGAAGAATAAAAGAAACACCTAGCAAAAAACATTTAAATAATTCATTATTAAATTTGAGTATTGATTACATGTTGAGATAAAACTAGACATATTGTGTTAATTTAAATATTATTAAAATTAATTTCATTTTTTTGTTTTTTAATGTGGCTACTAGAATGTAGCTTTTTGAATGTAGTTACCAGAAGAATTTATATATAAGGTTAATATTATGCCTCTATGGGACCATACAGCTATAGATTATTATACAAACCTGCCACATGTTGGCATCAGAAAGAATCAAATAGGAAAAGAAAATTTTGCTTTGGAATTATTCTCATGGCACCAATCTGTAACCTAAGATGTTTAACACTGAGTCCCACACTCCTTTAAAATACATCACCTTGCAGTGCAGAATAATCTGTTTTGGTTTATTGTACATATACTATGTTAGTTTCATAAAGTTGCATGATATAGAACTAAAACAATGATTTAAAGAATAGAGAAATTAACTCCCCCATCCTCTATTATATTGTGTTAATATGGATTGCAACCCACTAATCTAACTTTACAATCTACTGATGTATTTCAACCTAATTTGTAAAGTTCAGCATAGTGCATGCAATTAAGATGCTGATTCCATCTACAAAGAGGTGAATGGGGGGGGGTTGGTAAACAAGAAGATGAACCTGGCAGAAATAAATGAGCTAGCAGAGTGCTAGGGCAGCTATAGCAAATTCTGTGGTCTGTTCAGTTTGCTACACTGCAGACTAAATGCTTCCTGCTCCCATAGAATCAGCATTAATGAATATGTATGATGTCCAGCAATTGTTTCATCTGCTTAGCATCATGCCTTACGGGGAAAACAAATGCTTCCTGTGGTACCTGCTGTTCCTATCCAAATCCCATTCCACACCACAACTCTAGCCATAAAAGTTGCACTAGAGGGAATTTCTGATAACTCAAGAGTGGGAACAGAACCCAATTGAGACTAATCAGAGCCTGTTACTGGGATTTGTGGGCATCTAACTAGAACAGTCTCTTTTGATAATTTACTCATATTCAGACATCTTTAACAGATTATTAACTTCCCATTGTAGCAACAGTAATAAGTATATTTCTCTTTGCTGAGTATCTTTCAATTATGTGAAATTCTTCCAATAAACCCTTTTTTTCCCTAAGCTTCTTAGAAGTATGTTGTCTTACCTGCAGCCTATAATTTAGACTACACTCCAATTTAAGCCAAATTTGATCAGTGACATGGTTTCAATGATTCTAAGCCACCCTGCATGCCCATATGCATGCAAGAATAGAATCCTGTTCTGCCACTGATACTTGTAACTTTTCAGAAGTGTGTCTTCCATGGCTTGAGTATCTACAGACATCACTGTGTCTACAAAGGTCTTTGTGCTCTAAAAGGATATACACCAGAATAGTTGGTAGCATTCAGACACCACTGATTCCAGGCATCCTGTAACACAAAGTAAGGTGATGCTTTTAACATTGAAAAATGCAGGGCTGGGTTATCAGGCACAAAGCCTTCCTGGCAATATAAGGTTATGAGTTTGATTGCTGATACTAAAAAGAAAAAAAAATTACAAATACAGTAGGTTTGTACCCTGTTTATAAAGCAAGTAATTAAGAGAAAGCATGCGCCTGATATAATATTGCAGTTTAATGGGGAAAAGATTTATTTAATATTCATGATCAGCTTTTTAAAAAAATCAATAAATCATTGCTTATCAATTGAAAATTTTTTTCTTATAGAATATTGACATTGCTCTTCCTAATGCTAAGGTACCCAATGGCTTACTTAGTTGTGTCAGTTTCAGTGGTTACCTTAAGACAGATCTTTTGGCTAAACTAAAGAACACAGATCACTCCAACATCTTTTAAAGTGGGGTAACATTAGCCCCTTTAGTTTGATTTAGCGGCCTGAAACCCCCTGGACTACATTGCTCTTGGACCATGTTTATTTCTTATGCATTTAGAGTAACTGATGTGCAGTCCCTAAAGGAAGAAGGAATGGGAGGAAGCCTATAAGATTAATTTTCAACAAAAAGAAAAGATCTAGTTGAGTCAAAGGGTGAAGTGTAGGCCACTGCCATTCTCAACACACACAGAAGGCCTCTCTGGGCACATCGTAGCTGCTGCTGCTCTGCAGGACAGCCACCAGGCACCAAGGAATGAGAATATGAATAAAGGTGACAGAATAACAGACAGTACGGTCTTGGGCTCTTCATCATCTTGAAAAACTTGTCCAAGATGAATCACTGTGTGTATCTCTTAGGAATGTTAATGCCTGCAGGGAGTCCATATAAGAAATCTTGTGAAGCTCAGCTTTTAGTCTCTTAAAAGACTCCAAATCCACAGCCTGAAACAGGTCCAGAGGATGCCAATCTGATATAGATAGGTACATAGATAGATAGATAGATAGATAGATAGATAGATCTGTATATAAATATGTCGTTCAATTTAGCACATAAAGCCCTGCAAAGGAAGCATAAGGAGTCCTGGTTTCAAGCTCCATTAAGCACATACTGTATGTCAAGCTACTTCCGTGAGTAACGCAGGTGTGGCTGTGCTCATTTGAGGTTTATTGTTTCTAAGGTGGGAGAGCAGGAGGAAATGAGAAAATAATTTCAAGGGAAGTTGGGGTTGAAACTTCCGAAGGGTGTGAGAGAAGGAAGAGAAGGGGGTAACCCAGCTGGCAGCCTCTAGGCTCCCCTTAGCCCACGCCCACCTTCCACACACTCCCCTCCTTCTTCTCGCCACCTCCCACCTACCCTGCCCACCCTGCCCCAAGCTGCGCCAGCACTTTGCCTTTCTGGGGTCTGGACACACAGTGGTCTCGAGCCCCCAGCCCCGAGAGGGCCTCAACCGCCAGGCTCCCTCCTTCCCCACTGCGAGCTGCCATTGCCTCGCGACCAGGATGGGAAATGAGGCCAGTTACCCGAAGGAGATATGCTTGCCCTTCGACCAAAATGAAATTAAAAAGCTGAGCAAAGGTTTCAAGAAGCTGGACTTGGACAAGTCAGGCACTCTGAGCGCAGAGGAGCTGCTGTCCCTGCCCGAGTTACGGCACAACCCCCTGGTGAGGCGAGTAATCGACATCTTCGACACGGACGGCAACGGAGAAGTGGACTTCAGGGAGTTCATCCTGGGCATCTCCCAGTTCAGCGTCAGAGGCAGCGAGGAGCAGAAGCTGCGGTTCGCCTTCAGCATCTACGACCTGGACAAAGACGGCTACATTTCCAACGGGGAGCTCTTCCAGGTGCTGAAGATGATGGTGGGAGACAGCCTCCAGAACTGGGAGCTGCAGCAGCTGGTGGACAAAACCATCATCATCTTGGATAAGGATGGTGACGGGAGACTGTCCTTTGAGGAATTCAGCACTCTGGTCAGAGGCCTGCAGGTCCACAAGAAGTTGGTACTCACTGTGTGAGCCTTTCTCGTCATGGCATCGTCCAACTTTTGCTTTCTTTCTCTCTCTTTTATCTCTACGCAAGGCATCCAGCGACTGTTTCTCTGCTACTTGGACCTGTTGCTTTTCAAGACTTTGGCTTTGTCACCAACCCAGTGATAGCAATTGTTCTCCCAGTGACTCAGGATACCGCCCAAAGGAGGAGAGGAGCAGGAGGAAAGAAAAGAAATTGCTTCAGTGTTTTTCGGTTGTTTTGATTCAGTGGTCAAAATATATAAAGTCAGCAAGAACTTGAAAAGCTCAAGAATAAGAAAATACGTGTCTTTGCTCTTCCGTCTCATGGTGGGAGGAAATTATACAATTTGCCAGGTGCCAGGTGAACTGTCTTCCTTTACTTGTATTCAGACATCTTTGACACATTATTACTTCTTATTGTGGCAACAAGGACAAATGGATTTCTCTTCCTGAGTATCTTTTAATCACTAGCTGCACAACAGAAGCCCATTATCCCTGTAACAGGCCACAGCTCCACTCCCCATGCATGATACACCCACAGTTCCCTGAGTGTGTTTGAGGAGTAGAAATCCAGTCCAGCTCCGCCTGTCATAGCTTCAGCCTCTGTCAGAAACCAGCCTCGGGGCTTGTGTAAAAAGGTGATAAACCTGCACCAAGTGCCCAACCTAGCTACCAGTTTTAGTGAGGGGATTTTCAGGTTTTGCTCCCCATTCCAGTGTTAACTACAGAAAAAAGGTCTTCCAGTCAAATAGGGCAGGGTCTGGCCCTGAAAATATTCACCCGCCCTAGATCGAATATAAATGGGACACATACAAAAATGGCCTTCCCATACGCAGAAAAGATACAAGCTTCAGTAGTTCTCCCACAGATGCTGGTGGGGGATTAGCTAATGAGCAGTTTGGAGCACCCAGCTGAACTGAGTTAGCATAGCTCTGGGTATGGAAGACCCACCCACCTGAGGATTAAAGCAAATCGATATAAAGGGAGAATGGGAGGGGAAGACTGCATGCTGCCAATTTTCCTGTAGAAAAGGTGGCTGGTTTTTCTTACACAAACTCTGGCTGTTTTCATCAGAGGAGGAGCTCATGTCCTTGCTGTGTGGACTGGACTGGCTGCCTTTTTTCTGCAGCAGAACCCTCATCTTGGTCTTTGAGTGTTGCTTTCTGGCTCCAGTGCAGATCCCTCAGCCATCTAGCACAGATGCCAGCACAGACTTTCCAGTTTCCACCACTGGTCTTATCTTCCCAGGGCAGATCCTTGGTACCAGCTTGCATGAGACATTGCCATGAAATCTAGTCCTTCAGCTGGACTCATACAGGATATTGCCATGTGACCCAGGCCCTCAGCCAGATTCTTCAAGTTTCTAGCACAGACAGATCTCTTGTATTTTGATATTCGACTTTTTGGTTGAATATTATAAAATAATCCTATAAAGTATGAGTCCTGTATTAAAGCTATTCCCTTAAACCACTAACTACAACAATGCTTAAGTGATGTTGGATTGTTCTGGGGCTCAGAGATGTAGAGATCACCAACCCCTGTCTCCACAGCAGAGGGCCACAATACCTAAGCTTGGTTTTGAAAATCAAACCTGGGACCTAGCAGAGAAACTGAGAGCTTTCACATCATGTTTGTTTTGTTTGGGTTTTTTTGTAATGGAACACTTAGCCTAGATTTCCTCACACCCTAATACTGCATCTAGATGCGTTCTGGAGCCTTTTGTTTCTAGATGAGATCAGATGTGTACACAGCTCTTTCCAGTTCACCATGTCATGCTGGTAGCTTGAGAAAGATCATGGTGGGAATAGTATATCATAGAAAAGAACAAAAACTTTTAGTAGGCTTTGTTTTCTCAGGAGTCAGTTTACCAGTGAGTACACCTCCTGCACCCACCCTCAGCATTACCAACTCTGAAGTCGCTCCCACTGCTTTCAGATTGTAGAACACAAAACCAGGGCCAGGACTGATCCCAGAGTCTGTCATTTCACATCTCTTCTCTTTTGCACAGAGAATCATGCCCTATAATGTACCTAAGAATGTCAAAATATCTAATGACACATACTCGTTCATACTTACAAAACCACAACACTGGTGGTTTTTCTCAAGAAAGATCAATTCCTAGGCGATTTTTATCATTATATTTTTAAGAACCTGGCAACTAGTCTTGACCAAAATGATTAAAATAAAAAGGAAGAAAAATCCACACAAATTTATTCACTGGCCGGCACCCATCTATTAAAGCACCCTGCCATACTTTTAATAGTTTATTGAGGAATGACAAAAATTAGGAATCCTTGTTCCTTTAATTCCTCCAAAGCTCCAAAAAATACAATAATAATGAGAAAACACACTCTGTCTTATATTGATGTGAGTCAAAACTCCACTGCCAGGTAATACTGTTGAGGGACACAAAATATTGGATTTTGCTTAGTTACTACCAGGTCATCATCATAGTGACATTTAGTTGTATGAACAATAACAACTTCTCTCATAACAACTTTTCTCATAATTAAAATAAAGATCCGTCCCAGGTTCATTTTGAGGATTAAGAAAGATAAAATATGTAATGTGCTTAGGATACAGTATGTTGATTCTCCTAATTCCATTCCCCCTGCTGTGGAATTTCCAAGAAACTGAAGAGGTCAGGAGGGATTTTTAGGACTCTGTAGTGGTATACTGTCCCAGCCACTAGAAATGCTCAAAACCAGGCTAGACACTGAACTAAGGAGAAGTCCCCTTTCATACAATTTGTGGCATCAAGCCAATAGAGACACAGAAGCAAAACAAGGCAGTTAGTTATCCTAGCAGCTAACCCTATCTTAATCTTGAAAACACACCCAGTGCATCTCAGGATGTTAGAGTGCTATGAAACTTATGTATAACCCCATTAGTTAGATTTAGAGGTGATGGTACCCAGTATTGCCTCCTAAGAGAAGAAATCCCCATCCTGAAGGAGGGAATGCCCAAGGAGTTGCTCGCCTGTGCTGGGAACATTTTACTGAAGGAGACAAAGGATAAGGATCCCTCCTTATCTGCTTAACCTCTATCCTGCTCTGCTTAACCTCTATCCCCGCTTCTACAAGGTCAATATGTAGAGATGTGAAACAGGAGCTGCTTGTTCCTCATCCAGAAACTCACTTCTTTGAACCTCAATCTGTGAAAATTTGCACAATGTAGTCACATATTTTAAAAAAAACTATCAGATAATTTGAAACAGGTAAACACAGGAAACAAAAATATGAATATAATAAGGTAGAAACACTATCTGGCTACAGCCATTTTAAAATTATCTGGACTTGTGTATAATCCTAGACTAGCAAGAAAACAGCCAGGAACAATGTCAGTGTTCTTCCCACGCCCCAAGGGGCCAACAGGCTTCTGTATTTGACAACTGAGGAAACTAAAAAAAGTCTCTAGTTCTAGGCCAACTTGTTTTAATTCGTAAATTATACATGAGGAAATTGACCTGCCGTATGCTGGGAAATGTGGACTGGGATGTAAGGATTCATTTCATAGGACCTGATCAGTAACATCTAAGGCAAACAATGAGAGAAATATTTTAATCACATTTCTCGATAGAGACTTAAGAACCAGACATGTATCCAGCCAACTGTTTCAAGAGTCCACATCTATGCAAAATGCAAAAAGGGTTTGGGCAGGAAGAAACTTGGCGAGCAGAAGCCACACATTTGATAGTATAGTTGTCTCCTTCAGTCTGAATCTAGTCTGTTTCTGGAAATGTTGGTCAGTAAATTTCCATTGCATTAAATGGGAAAAACAACAAATTATTCCTACTTTATCCAAGAACTTCAACCTCAGTTTCCCTAATTAGTACTGAAACACTGTTAGATACTTATGCATGAGTAATGCCCAATGCAGGATGCATGTATTGTTTTATGTAACAATTCAAGAATTTCGGCATAATTTTAGGAATTTAAAATACCAGTGTCCTAGTGCTTATTTAGCGGGTATTTATAGTTATAGCAAGGAGAGTATGATACCAGATGCAAACTGTGTTTTCTCTCCACAGTACAATGACTACTTACTAATGTAGTTTAACAAAAATGAAGTGTTAAACATAACAATTACAAACACCACTGAGAAAAATAAACAAGAGAATTTTTTTAATGGTTGCTTACTAATTAAAGAGTTGCCTAACTGAAGTGAGGTGGGCTGGAGAAATCTGAAAGACTAAGTGGACTATAATTGCTTGAAATTTTCCTGTGGCTAAATCTTGGGACGATCTCTTTGACAATGCAGACACTGTAAGTGTGTGACTGTGAGCCGTTCAATGAAAGAGCAGATGAAGTAATAGGGTGGAAAAAAACCTCAAAATTTATGTTTCTTTACACTCTATTTGCTTTCATTTGTTCAGCTCTCAACAGATGAGGGGTTGTGATTGCATGTCTCAGTGTGATTTCTCATATCACTTGCAACTGCAATTATCATTTTGTCTACCTCACCTAAGTTTATTGTATAGATTTGACATTGAATGTTTATTTCTCTTCTTCTTTCTCTTACCAACAACGGGTGTAAGTTGAGCAGGTCCCATTTTATTAGAAAAAAGGTTCTCCATTGATAATGTAGAGCAGATGCACACATCTAACGCAAACAAATTTAAAGAGCATAGTCCTCGGGGAAGTAGGACTGAATTACAACAGCAACAGCACATCTCCTCACTCAAACTCAGACATAATTAAATATTTTGTTTGATGCTCACAGTCAGATTATAGTGGACTTTCAATTCAGATGCTAAGTTTGCAGGTTGTTACAAGGAATAGACAGTGGGAATTCAGATGGCAAAGGACACTTGCACAAAAGACAGGCTTAGACATCACACCGTCCTGGGTCCACAGCCTGGCTCCTCCAGATGTGAGCTCGTATGGTCTTGGATAACATAATTAACCTCTCTGCACCTCCACTTCCTCTAATGGGAAATGGAGATAGTAAGATTTAATTAACAGGGTTATTATATGACCATAAAGACACATTATGGTGTCTGCCATACATATAAAAAATGGTTAATTTTTTAAAAATACATCTATCGGTGTGTGAGTAGAAACCACAAAAGTTTAAAGAGGAAAAAATAAATAATATAAATGGAATACAGCTTATATATTTCTGAGGTAATCTGAGGAAGACGAGAGAATAAAGGGAAAAGCCTTGTGTTTAAAGCCACGATACTTTAGTGTAAGTTACATTTTTCTTTTTCATCTTGGCATTCTCTTACAAAAAAGCAGTGCCCACTGACATAGAATTTTACTGAATGTTTGATGATGTTAGTAAAAAATGAATTCTCTGTTTGTCCTTTATCCATAGCAAAGATTAGTTTATTAAATCCTTCTAATAGCCATAGCCTGTTCACATTATAATAGATACAGGCCAATGGCTATTTTCAAACACATTTGAATGTATGTTCTAGAGCTCAAATTTATATAATTGGTTACCACATATACAGAAATATTGCAGGAAAAGTCACCAGTGTAGCCCTCAGGGCTATATCCAGATCTCCTCCTAGACCAGTGTCCCTTGTGTCCTAGTACTGACCTTCTGCCTATCGTCCCAAAGTCATCTGCCTGATTTTCCTGCCTTGGGTCTCAGTCTCCTGAAATTCTGAGCTCCTGCTCAGCAATTCTCTTTCCTTCCCTGGAGATCCTAATGCTGATCTTTGATTTATAGCTACTGCCTGAAGTCCTATCATTGAGAAAAA